AGACCAGGCCCTCCTGCGTTTTCTCTCTCTGCAAAAAGCTCTTACAAGCCATTTGCTTAATCCAAGTAAAGGGGAGAGCGCTTGCCTAAACATATTTTAACGACGTAGGTAAAAGTTTTGTTGAATATTGAGCGGGCTTAGAACTGTTTGAACTTGAGAGAGAGAGAGGGGAGAGGAAGGCGGCTTTTGATGTCGTAAATCCCCAAATCCTTCCCTTTCCCGTTGGAAGTTGTTTTGCCAATAATAGGCTCCGGCATCTTTTTAAAAGTTCAGCGCTAAGCATTTTTTTTCCAGCTCCGCTATGGCCTGCACAGTGTAATGGAAACATAAAAAGTTAACACAGCATGGTTCCCCCCCTTATTATTTCTGCCTCCAGCAGCAGCCAGAAAACTAATAAAATCCAGAGTCGGGTGCTTGAATGACTGAAACGCCCGACCGCCACCAGCAGAGGGCAGTCTTGAATCACAATTCCCTCTCACTCGCCCCAGATGCCAAATCCTGATTAATCAGAAAAAGAGACTTTCCAAGGTTTTGTTGGTTTGGCAAATCACCTCCACCTTTCCTTGTCTCTGCACCCACCCCCCCAATAAGTATGGCATTGCTCGGGCGGGGACCCCTGCTGATTCAGTTGCCTATCATTGTAGTTCCATACCCTCCACACGGCCTTTGCAAATTAGCCTAAGAAATCAAGCCGAACACTTTAATGGGAAAGTCATTTACTTCGGGCCCACAGTACTTATTTAACTTGCCATACCGCGTCTCCGCGTAAAAGTCATTCCGTTGCGCGCAAATTGGCCATCGCGATTTTATGGCCTAGAGCCTCTCTCTGGTGCAGTTTTGCAAGGGAGGATTATGCGGAGCCGCATTTAGGAGAGGGGAAACTTCTGCGCTGTTTCCCTGGAGATCTGTGTTTCATTAATTCATTTGGAAGCATGTTCTCAAGGTATTTCTGCTCCTAAAGTATGACAACAGAGTCGACACCCAATGAAGCAGATGGGCCGTCCAGGACAGAAAAGGGAGAAGAAAAACAGTACTTAAGTCATAATCAAATAAATAAAATAAGCAACTTGTGGAACTCGCTGTCACAGGATATAGCAATGGTCGCTATTTTAGGTGGCTTGTTGTCCGGAAACAATTGTTGAATGTAAGAGCTATGGAAAGCCATCCATGAATGTTTGAGTGCCTTATGATGCAATTGATGTGAAGAAGAACACTGGAAAATTGATGTTTGACAAAGACACGCGTCGAAACGAACGGTCAAAACTCGAGAAAGTTCGTCCTGTTGCCGTTTTTGCATCTTGTTGGGACTTCGGTCTCCTGATGATATTTGCTGAAACAAACCAAGATTAAAATGATATTGATTATTGATATTGTATTTTGATCAATTGTATATACTATATTGATTGCATGAACTTATGCAGCAACTTCTTGCGTGTTAATGTTCTTCAGTTTGCTGTGCCCTTAGTCCTATTTGTTAAAAGGAGATGAGACAAATTTGCCCTGACCTGGATAGCCCAGGCAAGACTGATCTCAGAAGCTAATCAGGGTCAGCTCTGGTTAGCGCTTGGGTGGGAGACCACCAAGGAAGCCCAGGGTTGCTACGCAGAGGTAGGCCATGGGAAACCACCTCTGAATGCCTCTCGTTTTGAAAACCCTACCTGCTTGCCAGAAGTCGGGTGCAACTTGACAGCCGCAAAAGACAGACCAATTCACAGAGAGCAGAGTCTTGCTGCTCAACAGAATCTCCATGTTCCAAAGCAGTTTATCATCCGGGGGGGGGGCAGGCAACGGGAGAGAATGTATCCTGCATGAAAGTGTTCCAGAGGAATCTAGTTGGCCCCTGGGGAGCAGGATGCTGGATGAGATCTGGACCATCAGTCTGATCCAGCGGAGCTGCTGGTATGAGGTCCAGGAATCCCATACACTTTCCATGCAGCTCTGATGTCAGTATCCACTCACGTTTCGTTGCTTCTCAACGCTCTGTTTTTAAAAAGCTGTCCATGACAGAGACCCTTGCTTATCACACTCGTCGGGTTGGACCTCACCCTGAGAGCCAGTTTGGTGTAGCGGTTAAGAGCGCGGACTCTAATCTGGGAGAACCGGGTTTGATTTCCCCACTCCTCCACATGCGGCTGTTGGTGTGACCTTGGGTGCTTCACAAGTTCTGTCGGAGCTGTTCTCTCAAGAGCAGTTCTCGAGAGAGCTCTTTCAGCCCCACCTACCTCACAGGGTGTCTGTCGTGGGGAGAGGAAGGGAAAGGAGATTGTAAGCCGCTCTGAGACTCTGAGGGAAGAGTGGGGTCTAAATCTAATCTCCTATTCTTCTCTTCCTGTCGAGCCATTCATTGAGCTTTTAATCTCCCTGCATAAAGCCAGTAGATGATTTGGGAAACTCTTGAAATGGCTTTGGAGTCCTTGCTCTACCCCTCCCCTCCACTGGCCACTCAGTACATTTGGGGTTGCTTCTCTTTGAGTTCCCCCGATGTGGCCTTCCTGCTGTTTAAAGTTAAATCTTGTTTGTCAGCGGTGACCATTCCCCCCCCCCATCTTTCCGAGCACCGCTAGCGTCTCACCCAGTGCGATGCTCTGCATGCAAAGCTGAAGCGAGATCCCTGTAAACTGGCCCATAAGCCCTCTTTATTATCGAGCGCGGGGCTTTTCCTCGGGCACGTTCACAGCCTCAGCAGGAGCTCAGCCCGAGAGCTTTGGAAATAAACCAGTCACTCAACATCTTCCAAGCTGGGGCACACCGGATGCAGCTGCAGCCGTTTCCGAGGCATGATCTGCCCTGAAGCCTTTAAGACGCTTGACATTTTAAGAGACCGTTCGGGGGGCTTATCTCTGTGCATCGCAGAGTCTTATGCGCTGGCGTGGGCCGGGGCCTGGCAGCCGAGGAGGAGAAAATGTTGCCCGCTTCGACTCTCAGCTGCGCCTCGGTCAGCGGCACACCAGGCATGCATGCTCAGTGCCACGGGATTTCGGCCACCACCAGGGTGGCGTTTTGAGTCAGTGGCAGTGTGCCTGGGGCAAGAGAAGCAGGGTGTGGCTCGCCTGGGGACCGCTGCAGTTCGGAATTGGTTCCACGGCGTGCTGGGAAGGACGTGAGAACTGACACCTCCTATTGGAGAGGCATCCAGAGGGCCATTTTATTTATGGAGAAGGGGAGAGTGTTGTAAGCCACTTTGGATCCCATTGAGGAGAAAAGTGGAATATAAACTAGTATCTAAGCAGGGCTTCTCTCTCTCTCTCTCTCTCTCCCCCCCCCCTCTGAAAAAGAGGTGCTGGAACTCTCACGGGGGAAATGAAGTTCTCATCTGCATACTGAAAACTCATGAACTTTTAAACATTGTCAAAAGACAGCATGATAACAAAGTAGAGACATCACCCTGCCAACAAAAGTCCGTATGGTCAAAGCGATGGTACTCCCAGTAGTCATGTATGGCTGCAAGAGTTGGACCATAAGGAAGGCCGAGCGCCGAAGAATAGATGCTTTTGAATTATTGTGCTGGAGAAGACTCTTGCCTTGGACTGCAAAGGAGATCAAATCAGTCAATCCTAAAAGAAATCAACCCTGACTGTTCCCTGGAAGGCCAGATAATGAAACTGCAGCTCAAATACTTAGGCCACCAAATGAGAAGGGAGCACTCACTGGAGAAGACCCTGATGCTGGGAAGGATTGAAGGTCAAAGAAGACGCGGACAGCAAAGGATGAGATGGTTAGACAGTGTCATAGATGCAACAAACATGAAATTGA